GAAGAGAGAAGAGAGAGAGAGGAGAGAGAGAGAGAGAGAAGAGAGAGAGAGAGAAGAAGAGAGAAGAGAGAGAGAGAAGAGAGAAGGAGAAAGAGAGAGAAAGAGAGAAAGAGAAAAGAGAGAAAGAGAGAAAGAGAAAAGAGAGAAAAGAGAAAAGAGAAAAGAGAAAGAGAAAAGAGAGAAAGAGAAAAGAGAGAAAGAGAAAGAGAAAGAGAGAGAAAGAGAAAGAGAAAGAGAGAAGAGAGAAAGAGAAGAAGAGAGAAAGAGAGAGGAGAGAGAAAGAGAAAGAGAGAAAGAGAAAGAGAGAGAGAAAAAGAGGGAGAATGAGAGGAAAACAGGGAAAGAAATAAAACAGGGAGAAAAAGAAAAAGGAGACACAAAAGGGGTGAGAAACAAAGAGAGCAAGAGAGGGAGAAAAAAAGGCAGACAAATCAACAAGCAGAATAAAATCCACAGTTATGAAGCTAAACATAGCAATAAGATTCTGTATATCACCTAAATGTACCACAACCTCACACGCATGTCTCTGTGAAGCTCTGTCAGACCTTTCATGATTATGCAGTTTAACCCTTTCAGATCACCTTTTGAGAACACTGAAAGATTTGCACCTCACTGGAACAACCTATGTATTATTTGCAAATCAACAACGTAATAAAGTGTGAATGGATAAGCAGACTAAAAAAATATATTGTATAAAATCTATGCAAATTCCTAGTTGCCTTAGACACTTTTTCATTCAGCTAAAATAACTTAAGTAAACATACATTATACAAAATGGTTAACATCTTTATCTATTCTAATGCATCAGCTGCCTGTAAATTGACAAGAGATATATGTAACTTAACACAAACATACAATAGAAAATAATGTCAAAGTAACTACAGTAAATGAGGAAACAAACATGTGCAATTTATCAAAACTGAGCAATAAAAATATTTGTGCTTCATGCATGTATATGATACATACTTGCATGTATAACTGACATATGTACACATCATAAATACATGTGTATATATATATAATATATATATATATATATATATATATATATATATATATATATATATATATATATATATATAACATATAATATATATTTAATATAAATATAAATATATATATATATATATATATATATATAATATATATATATATATATATTTTATATATATATATATATATTATATATATATATATATATATTATATATATATATATATATATATATATATATATATATATATTATATATATATATTTGATAATATATATATTTGATATATATATAATATATATATATATGTAATATATACATAATATGTATATATAATATACATATATATAATATTATATATAATATATAATATATATTCAATATATATAATAATATATATATATATAATATATATAATATATATGAAAAAAAAGTATTCAATAAGCTTGACAAAAAAAAAGTGCAGAAGAAATGCTTCCCTTCAAAACTGGTGTTGGTGAGATCACCATGAACGCACAAACAGCAAACAATAAGAAAATCCTCGCAGCATGTCTTCCTCATTTACTGGACAGATATGTCACAAAAATAAACAAATATATATATAACTACATATATAAACATACATGAATGGATATTCAAATAAACAAATAAATAAATACATAAATACATAAAAAGAGTAAACAAATTAATAAAGAAACTTCAAGAAGCAAATTGAATAAATGAACAAATTAACAAACTGTCATAAAGGAACAAAAAAAAAGTAATGAAATAGACTGCTAAACAAATATCAAACAACAATCTATAAGCAAGGTGTAATTATAACAATGAATAAAGAGTGACAGACCCAACAAAATACTGTGTAATAACAGAAAATAATACTAATGTTTAAGGAACATGCAAAATTCATTACATGACTAAAATCTAAGCAAATGGTATATTGCAGGTAACTTGCACTTTGCACTGAATTGCAGTGCTGATACAAAAATATTATTTCTTCTGTTTCAAATTTCAATCTGAGTATATTCCACGCAGATGAAGACCTAAATCAGCATTAAAAAAGGCGCGTGTTTTGATAAAGGTCAGTTGTATCACATTCCCACATCCTTTCCATAGCTGTCAGTACAAAAGCATAAGGCTAAGAAAGTGGTTACCAACATCCACCATTACAAACAAGTAAAGGCATTGGCTCACTACTGCTGTATCATCTTTGCTCTAATAAGGAAAATTCCATGCACTAATTCCTAGTAAAGGTTATCTTATCACTGGAGAAGAATGGAATGCATAGCAAGGCAGCCTGAAATTGCATGAGCTAAGCTGTATACACACAGATATATATGTGAAAACTATGCATGGCCTAGAGAGAGGTCACCACAACTACAGTCTGTTGTTCCTTGGATGAGATACTTTGGCAAAAAAATTGTAAAAGAAATCAAGTTTTCTACTTCAACTACAAACTCTATTGATCAATGTGAACCAATTTCATGTCAAGACTGTGAAGATCCCACTACTTTAGATTAACTCATAATCTACTTCTACAACAATCATACTTACAATCTAGAGCTACAGGAAATAAGATAGCTTCAACATGCAAAAACACATACTTTCACAGCACAGGTTTGTTCCTAAATCTATACCTAGATCTACGTGTTTGAGAGTTACACAGGAAGACTTTAAACTCACTAATGAGGCTCTTTTTTAACTTTTCTTTATAGCAAAAAACAATGGTTATCCAAGGGATCCAACCTATCTAAAAGTGATAACCGTAGAGTTAGGGGTATTGTATTAGTAAGTCTTGAGTATGCCAGAGCAGAGCTTAACACAATTACAATGGATAACATTTTCGGCAAAGTCTGGTAAGGACAAGTGTACGTGAAATCTTATACCAGTGATCAGCACATGGATAAATGACATTGTAAAGTGTTACCCAGCTTTCAGTAATAGTTGTCATGACATGATAGGATATCACTTATCACCAATGGAGAAATACTAGCAGCCCATAATATCAGTAATGCTCTTTCTGTTCTAACTTTGTAAAAGTACTTTCACTCAGGCTGAACTACAAAGAAAGGAGTTACAAAGAGATAAAGGGTTTACTTTAGAACAAAGGAACCCTATGGTCAGATCTCCATCTGACTGACAGGTCTTCTCCTATTGTGATAAAAATCTTTCAGTATGCCCTATTGTGTAATAAAGAGAGAACCATTGGCATGGACAGACAGTTCTTTTCATGCTTACAATATCCTTTCCACATTTCATATTTTTAATACCAACTGCAGCAGATCTACAAGTGTACCATATGCCAATTTAGCAGCAGTTCAACTTGCATTCATTATGGGCATTCCAATACACATTTATGTCTTCTGCATTTCTAGTATACAAAGATCACCACAATTACTTTATGTTTCCAACTGAAAAGGAAAAAGCTAAGAGAAAGCTACACATAAAAAGCCTTAGATACTCACCCGCACATACATCTCTTCAGTAGACAGAAGAATGCTCTTTAAATTGAAATTAGTTGGACTTGACAGGATCTAGAGTCAACCATAAAAACAAGCTCTGTATGGTATGCAATATCTACATGTAAAAAATAGTCAACCACAGACCCATAAAATGATTAACCTTATAGCCAAACTATAGCATATTGACTATTAGCTGTTCATTCTTCCACTACCCTATACATATAATCACATTGAGTTTTTCTCTATTAGCAGTTGTGGCAGAAGAAAAGAAACTGAAATCCAATTTTTTATCAAAAGAAAGAAATAGAAGGAAAAAAAAAATAAAATAAAATAAAAGAAGAAATGAAACAACAAACAGCTCTTTCCTTAACTGAACTTGAGCCACTTTGCAGAATTTCTTTGAAAGTTCTTTTGAAAAACCTCTTCTTACTTTTGCTTTACACATATTAATTTCACCTCATTACTGTATCTTATCTTACAACATTAACTTTGTGAAATAAAGAATACCTAAAACCACATAGCAATACCTAACAAAAGTATATTTTTCAGTTGTGCAGTTTGTGTCTAAAAATGTAAAAACTAAATCTAAATGCAAAGCCGGGCATATTTTCACGTCTCTACTTCTACCTCTTTCTTTCCGTCTTCAAGACCAGATAAAAAATACGATTTCAAATAACAATGCTTTGTAAAGTTTAGAAATTATAAACGAGGAAAACAAGAAAATTCAGCAGACACTGAAGTCCCACAGCTTGACAGTCTTGTCATAAGATCCACTAACAATCACATGGTCGTTGAAAGCGAGGCAGGTGACACCATCAGTGTGATTACGAAGTGTCACCAGTCGGCGTAGAGTTTCACGGTCCCAAACCTGTAAGCAGACAATACTGATGACATCATTCAGCAATAATAACTTCTCAAAATAATACACAGTTAGATTACAGCTGATAGAAAAAGACAACATCCAAATGATAAAACTTTTGAATTATAAAAATTATGAAAATAAATGAAGCATCTGCTATACATCCTAAAACAGGATTATCTGTAAGCTTTAGCTAAATTCACTGAATCTTAAATGTGATACTTTAAGCAAATTGTTGAATCCATTAAAAATAAATATGTAATTACTATCAAGAGATATATGTAAGTTGGCAAGCCCAAGCCCACAACAAAGTGACACAGACACAATATACCGCCACACACACCCACACCCATATGCACACACACACACACAAGCACAGGCACACACGCACACACACGAGCACACCCACACCCACACCCAAACCCACACCCACACCCACACACTCAACACTCACACTCACTTAACACACTCACATTCGCTCACTCCTGCTCCCTCTCTCTCCCTCTCCCATCCATTCATTATATTGTACCTTAATTGTTTTGTCATCAGAGGCACTCACAATCCTCCAAGGATCCGCGGCTAGGCACCGTATCACACCTATGCAGGAGAGAAGTTGGGATATTTTGAAGTTATATTTCCTCAACAAACTGGGTAATGCTGGCAAATCTATATTACAAAAGTTCAAGGTAACTGAAGTAGAGGAGATGGAAGCTTTCCTCCTCCTTTAATTAGCTGTAGTTCTCATCTCCCTGGCTTTCCTACCTGTATGACCTTCACTTGACATCCAGTCTAGAACGCCATTGCATTGGCCTGAAGAGATGCACCAGAGGCGGATGGTACAGTCAAGAGAGCCAGAAATGATGGTGGTAGCATCATAGGTCAGGGTTGTCACAGCATCCTCATGGCCTACCAGAGTCTTCTGACACTGACCTGTGTCCAGCTGCCAAATCTGACAGTAAAACAAAACAATAATAAATCAAAAGTTGATGAAAGGAAGAATTAACCTATATGGCTGACAAATATAATGGTTAATGGTTGAAACATAAATGTCCTAGACATCTAGGTCATATAGCACTATGGTAAAGTGTGTCAAAAAGGGTAAAGAGGAGTTGAAGACTAGGATAAAATGCATTAGATGTCAAAAATTAGAGAGCATTACAGGATAGTATGGTAGTGAAAAGGGAAAAGTGAATTAGAGCAAAGATAAGTAGAAAGGGAATGGTTAAGGGGGTAGGGCCCTTGAGTGAATTGCAGTGTATCTGTGACTAGGGAAGGAATGAGAACAACACTCAAGGAAAACAGAGGTGGCTGTTGGAGAAGTAGGAGGGGAAGAATCCACAGGATGAGGAAAGGGGACTGGGAAAGGTGGTGAAGTATCAGGAAGAAAGTAAGGAGGGGAGGGGTCAGGAGAATGACACTGTTGTGACAGAAGAGATTCGTGTGAGCATTCAGGATGGGGAATGTTGGGAGGCTGTAGGAGGAAGGGGGGTGGGTGGAACTTTAGAAGGAAGACAGATATCGGCAAATACTTTAAATGTAGAAGGAGCAGGAACAGACAGTGGATGAGGAAGCAGAGTGTTCCCTTGGGTCATCTTTAGGTAGTTTTGGATGTCTTGAAGAGTTTTTGGAGGGGAGCTGGATGAA